CGCGCGTCTTCCGTATAGTCGCCGCGTCGACAATTCGCGGATCCAGATCTTCATCGCTGTACAGCTCGTCTTCCCCTTTGACGAGATCTTCGTCCGTGACAGGTCGCATATCCACCACGCCCATGTAGTTCTGCACGTACCTCCTCGTTTCTTCACATGGCATGCCTTTCCTCAACCATTGCAAAGACGCCTCCGCCCATGACCCCTGCTCTCCGCGGAACTCTCGCAGGTGTGGCACTCCACAGTCGGCCCCCGCGAACTGTTCATCGTCGCGAAGTGTGAAGGCCCGGAAATAGACCATCAACAACAGCCCGTTTCTATCCTCCTGCCCCGCTCCGTGTTTCGGCTGTGGTGCCCCATGAAAACTGGGATTTCTCGGGCGCTCGCTTCGCACCAGCACCCACGTGCGCCTCAATGTTTCGAGCTCAGGAACATCTGGGAACGGGACCCACGAATAACTTCCCCATCCCGCCTTGATCACATAATCAACTCCGGCTTTCAACTGGGGCCCGGGCTGCGCACCGCTTTCGTCAGCATCCGCTCTCAGCTCGTCTGCTTCGCGGACCTTCCGAATACTGGACTCCGTCAGCTCCGCCTGGTAATCGTTCGTGGCCGCGGCTGCCAGCTCTGCTCCGCTGCGGGGAAATGCTGCCAATTCGATACGCCAATACCGCAAGAACTCATACAACGATAAGTGTGCCAAGTCGGGCGCACCAGGAGCGTCAACCGGGCGCATGCCATACAAGTACACTGGACTCTTCGACACAATTCGAACCCTTTTTGGCCCTTCTCGTTTGTCTGCTTCCAGAATCCCCGACGCTGCTACGGGAACGCCGTCCCCGTCAGCACAGAGCCGTTCCGCCATGCGCGCGGCTTCTGCTCCCGGGATCATGGCTGTCTTCGCAGTCTTGATACTCTCCGCGCCAGTCACGTCTCTGGGGTCTCGGTACGCGCGCAGATTCGTACTTTCCTGCGCTGACCGCACCACACCTCTCCCGTACATGTCACTGAGAAACCTCTTCATGTGCCTGTTCGCTCGGTACGTCGCGGTCCTGTCTTTCGTCTGCTCCGGAGGAGGAGCAGGAGGAGCAGGAGGAGGAGGAGGAGGAAGAGGACAAGGAGGGGGAGGAGGAGGAGGAAAAGGCCGGGAAGGGAAGGGGGATAAGGAGGAGGAGAAGGCGGGGGAGGAGGAGGAGGAGGAGGAGGATGAGGACGAGGAGAGGGACGAGGGGCGGGAGGAGGAACAGCAGGAGAAGGACAAGAAGGAGGAGGAGAAGAAGGCGGGGAAGGGAAGGGGAGAAGGAGGTGGACGAGGAGAAGGAGGAGGAGGAAGGGCAGGAGAAGGAAGAGGAGGAAAGGCAGGAAGAGGAGCAGGAGGGAGGAGCAGGGGGAGGAGGAGAGGAGGAGAGGGAGGGGGAAAAGAAGGAGGAGGAGGAGGACGAGGAAAGGACAGCGACAGGGTCAGCAAACAGCAACATCAACGCCCCATCCTCCTTCTCCTCCTGCCCATCCTCCCACGCCTCCTCCTCCTCCTCCTGCCCCTCCTCCTTCTCCTCCTGCCCCTACTCGCCCTGCTCCTCCTCCTGCTCCTTCTTCTTCCGACCCCGCCTCTTTTCTTAATCCGGCCGCCGAGCGAGTCTCACGGCTTCGCCGATCATCGTCATCAGTGTCGTGATCATCAACGACGTCATTGCCATCGACAAGGTCAGCCCAAACATCCCCGAACATTAACAGTTAGCGGGACATCCCGCTTGGAAACCGCCGACAACCGTAAGATGTCTCCGGGGTGTAACATACTTCCCTGGCTCCGGCACCCGTGCAAGGCCCCAAAGACAGCCCAACAAACCTCCCTGTGCCGTCTTGGGGTTCGCTTGGGCCGTCTGGAAGCCCTCTGGGCCAGTTTGCGACCCATGTCGGCTCCCCTTCTCGCTGTGACGGGCCCTGAACAGCCTCATTTTCCCACGGTTTGCAGGGAAGCTGTGGTGAACGATCCCGGGGAAAATCCAAGGGGTCGGCGGGTGTGGCGTAAGCCTGAAGAATCATTTCGCTTTCGGTGTTGGTTCTTTTTCCCCCTGGGGTTTCGGCCCGTCCCGCCGGAGATGCGTAACAGGTGGTTGCAAAGGGTTTTTGGGCTCCAGACGGCTCCAAGATGGCCTCCAATATGGTAGAGATGGACCAAGATGGCCTCCAAGTTCGTCCAATATGGTCTCGAAGACGGCCCAAGAGAGTCCAAGATGCCTCCAAGTTCGCACAACAAAAACACCTAAGACGGCCCAAGACGGCGCAAGAGGCCTCCAAGAGGCCTCCAAGACGGCCCAAGAGGCCTCCAAGAGCTCCACCAGGAAGGCCCGAAGAGGCCAACATCAGTGATTCTCCTCCTGTTCGGCTCTCCGACGGCCCAAGACGGCCCGAGAGGCCCCCAACATCGTCCCAAGGTCGCCCAAGAAGCCTCCACGATGGCCCCAGGACGATCCAAGAGGCCTCCAAGATGGCCCAACGAGGGCTCAGAGACGGCCCAAGAGACCCCAAGACGCCCAAGATGGCCTCCAAGACGGCCAAGATGGCCTCCAAGATGCCTCCCAGACGGCCAAGAAGGCCTCCAAGACGGCGAAGATGGCCCAAGATGTTCCCAAGACGGCTCCAGATGGCTGAAGATGGCCTTAGACTGCCCAAAAAGCCCGCCAGAGGCCTCAAAGATGGCCCAAGACCTCTCCAAGACGTCCTCCAGGAGGCCCGAATGCTCGGAAACCACCTGGTCCGATAGCTCGCCCGACTCAGTGTTCCCCGAAGGCTTTCGAAACCCACTCGGGGAACGCGTGGCCCGATAGCTCGGCCAAGCTCAAACCCAACTTTCGGCCACGCAGGCGCTTCCAAAAAGGCAGGGGGCGGCGGTGACTCGCCGCAGGCGTCTGCGATAACGCCAACGTCTCAATATGCGCTGATGATTCCTATCCGCCATCGCATGATGTTCCCAGATGCGCCAAGGCAGCGCCGAGACGCACCGATGCGACTCTGATATATCCCATTCTGATAGAGAAAAGGCCGGCGGCAGGGAGCGAAACCCTTACGGACTAGATGTTTGGAGGAGGAGGCACAGCGTCGAGGATAGGAGGAGGAGAGGAGGAGGAGGAGAGGAGGGAGGAGGAGGAAGAGGCGGAGGGAGGAGAAGGATGGAGGAGAAAGCTGGCACCCTCGCGTCGCGCAACATTCACGACGCGGTGTTTTTGGTGCTTCTCGGCCTTCGGGGCGCATTACCAGGAGCCCGACCATCAAAAACGGCGCAACCGGTTCTTGGGAAGAGGGCCAAACCTAGAGAACCTCAATAGGCCCCAGAACCACCCGTGAGGGCTCCAAAACAGCCCCCAGAAACATAGCTTGAGGAATACTCACGTGCTTATCCGGGGGCGAGTACTTCCTTCTTGAGGTGCGACCCCGCGATCCACCCAGCGTGAATCGGAACCAGCATTGGATCCGCGCATCCTGAACGTAGACCCGCATCAATTCCATTCACACGTTCCGCAGTTACTCTTGACGATGTCGGCTGCAGGCCCAAGCAGAAAAACACCGTTGCCCTTGCGATATATACCCCCGAATCTGGCTATAGTGATCATTACTGGAGGATGGTCGAACTAGCTTCAGTTGACTGCTGCCCCCTTTCTCCTCATCTGTCATCCTCCTATTCATGGCCCCTCTTCCTCCTCTTCCAAACTATCCTCAATGTGCCAGATCCTCATCCGTATCCTCCTTTGTTTCTTCCTCCAAATCCTCAAGGTCATCATCCCTCCTGACTCGTAATTACATCCTACCTCCTCCCTCATCCCTCCGTTTTCTGGAGTCTCCTCCTCCCGTCTCCTCACTATCCCCCTCCCCTCTCTCTCTCCCTTCTCACTCCCCTCCGTCACCAGTAGCTTGGCAATGCATGCGCGTCGCCCCACTCCCAATTCGTCCTCCGCGGAATCGCGTTGGCAATCAAGTTTTAACCTGTCCAAGGGTGTTGCATGTTTTTTTTTTCTGAGGGGACGATGCGGACAGAACGGATGACCTCGCGTGGCGTCAAAATCAAAGACATCTTCAGAATCCGGCCGTGTTCTTGGAGCCCCACTCCAAGCGAACAAGGGTCACCACAGCGGGAGGAGGGGAAGGAAGAGGAGGAGGAAGAGGAGGAGGAGAGGGGAGGGAAGCAGATGAGTACTCCAAAATCAAGGGTGTTGCATGATGCTGCGCACCATCAGCAGCTCGCCCTCCCACATCCGTGCAGGATCAGTCAGCACCGCCTCGGGAAAAATCAGATCGGATCGGAACGCGCACTGGGTCGGGCTGCACTGGCAGAGAATCGACATCGAATCGGCTTGGCTGCGCCGCCATGTCCGACAACGCCACGCGCACGTCGGGCCAAATTGGATCGTCGGAGTATCGACATCGAGTCGGACCGGGCTCGATCAATCGGATCCAACTGGGCCCTGCTTGGGCCACGCTCTGGGTGGACGGCTGTCAGACTATGCCCTAACCCTCAGGCGGCCGCTCGGGAAGATCCGAGCACCCTCAGACGCTTCTCGACTAGACGCAGCTGATGGAGAGCACCGCAGGGTCTGAACGCCTCCAAGAAACAACGAAGACTTCCGAGGAACCATCATTGAAAACCTGTCGTCGTCGGCAGCGGTCCTGCTCAGCATCCTCCTCAGCATCCTCCTCACCATCCTCTTTCTCATCCTCCTCCTCCTCCTCCTCCTCCTTCCTCCTTCTCCAGTGGGGGGCAACGCTTGGGGGCCGGCTCAGGGGGGAAATTTTGAGCTTGAGTCGGCGATACATCGCCGATAGATCGGCGATAGGCCCCCGATAGCGAATCCGCAGGGTCCTGGGCGGGGTGGGCTATCACGCCTTGCAGATCTGCGATCCATGGGCGACAGGGGCTCGGTGCGTCCCCTCCCCGAGCCTACCCCAAACATGGCCCCCGATCCGCGCACACTGCTGTCGCTGGCACTCTGCTCGCGGGCGAACGCCTCCACCCACTGGTCGCGCGTGATCTCGCCCCCCTCGGCGTCGAAAAGGAACTCGCGATCCGGCTTGCCGGTGAACGCCTCCGCTGGGAGGACGGGAAGAGCCGTGGGGCATACATAGCACATCGATGACACGCCGCCGTGGAGAACCCATTACCGTTTCACTGCTGATGCGACAGCAGGTCTCTGGACCACACTCACGCCGATTGACTCCCAGCGGCGGCGTGTCATTGATATGCCTAGTCCCTCCCAGTTTTGCAAACGAACAACCTGTCCGGGGGAAAAAAAACGACTGGAAGCGTTTGGCTGCTCTCGGCCTGCGGGTGCCCTTGCCAGGCCACAGGACCATCAACAGAACGACTCGGGAAGCATCAGGCGGGTCCCTGGGATGGGGTCCCGACCTCTGGGGCGCCACGCCGCGGAGACAACACGACGTCGGATGTCTGGGGGCGTCGCCTTGTCTGCGCGCCCATGCCACCATGGGCGCGCAGACAGGGGCCTCTGGAGGCCTCCAGGAGACCCCTGGGGACCTCCAGACGTCGGGGGACCAGGCGCTTCGCGTCGGGCCCCGCGAGTCTCCAGGAGCGGGTGCTCTCGCACGACGGATGGGCTCGAGAGCTCCACTCGCGAGAGAGGCGGCCGGGGGAGGGGGAGGAGGAGAATGATGAAGGAGGAGGAGCATGGAGGACCAGTGTAAACCCGAGACGCATCAACGATGTTGCAATCAACGCTCCCTCATAGTTGCCTCTTCATAGGCCCCTCCAACAACTTACTTGCATTGCGGGGAGTGCCCCGTTGGAAGACAAACATCTGCGAATCTACGATCTTGCCAGAATACCACCCTGGGACATCAGCGCCGCAAATCAACGTGACTGCTGCGTCCTGACAATCCTAAGTCGTTACGTAACACCACTCCTGGGACTTCAACATCGCGAAACAACGTGACTGTTGCGTCCTGGCAACTCTAAATCGCGCCAGCAACCTGAGACTTCAACCGCACGGACCCTGAGAAACGCTGCGAATGTTCAGGACGAACGTGCGCGGCGCCAAGGCGAGAGCCACATGTTGAAAAAGGAACCGCCCTCCATCCTTGAAGGTGTTACAAGCCTGCACGCGAATGTGCGCGCCGCTCGCAGGCGAGAGCCACAGTCCGAACACGGCCCGCCGTGCACTCCCCGAGCAGCAGCTGCACTCAGGGCTTCCAGCTTGTGCTCCAAGGAACTGGGCCTGCGCCTCCTTTCTGGCGGCTACGCGGTCGCCGTCGCCTTCCCGTTGCCGCCTCGTCGCCTCCCGTCGTCTGGGCCCGCGCATCCTCCTCCTCCTCCTCCTCCTCCTCCTCCTCCTCCTCCTCCTCCTTCTCGTCGTCGTCGTCCTCCTCCTCCTCCTCCTCCTCCTTTTCCTCCTCCTCCTCCTCCTCCTCCTCCTCCTCCTCCGGTCTGGCAGCCATGCGGCCGCCGTCGCCTTTGCCCGCTGCCCGCCGCCTGGCGGCTGCCGTCCCCGACCCGTCGCCGCCTCGTCGCCGCCTCGTCGTCTGGGCCTGGCTGGCGGTCCGGCCGCCGGCCGCCGTGTTGCCTCCGTGACCGGCCCGTCGCCGCCTCGTTTGCACTGCTTTCCGTCGCTCTGCATCGCTTTGCTTTCCTTTGCTCTGCTTTGTCCTCCTTCGCATTGTACGAGACTGTCTTGCGTTCTCTCATTCACATTGTTTTGCACTGCGTCGCGTGGATGTGTTGTGCTTAGGGTTGTGGTTCCTCTGCGTTGCTTTGCGTTGCGTTGCAATGCATTGCTTTACATTTCGTCCCGTTGGTTTGCATGGGTGTGCATTGATGTGTATTGCTTTGTCTTGTTTGCTCTTGCTTTGCATTGTTTCGCATTGCAGATATGTCCATTGCTTTGCACTGCTTTTTCAATGATGTGCATTTCATCGCTCTGCTTTGCGTCCCACCACATAGATTGCACCACATGGATGGCACCCCTTAGGTCACAGCAATTTGATTGCACCACCTAGACTGAGCCGCATATAATGCATCAAATCACTGTTTGGGGCCCTGGCTAACATCCGCGACACTGCTTCAACTTTTAGAATCGAATGTGCGCGGCCCTACTGCGAGAACGTCATTTTGCAAACGACCCTTTCCCCACCCGTGAAGCTGTTGCAAAATCCAAGCATCAGGAGCATGAGCGATGGGGAAATCTCAGACGGAACGCACGTTGGGTGTGCGACAGTGATGAGCCGTGTATAAGATAAGGAAGCCGGGGTGGAGGAGAGCGGGGAGGGTGAGAGATCGCGGAGGTCGGTGGGGAAATGAGTACGCCCACGGCGCCATGGGGCCGCACTCTCGGCAGGCCGAGCCGGCGCCCAGCGAGCAACCATCACGTTCAGCGCTGCCTCCCTGCCCCAGACATGCGACGCCCCGATGTCTTTCAGCCCGGAGGTCCTGACCCTGTCCCCTGGACGGGGCTTCCCTCCCGGATCGTTTTGTTGGCGGTCCCGGGGCCCAGTGAGGGCCCCCAGGGGCCGAAGACTACCACCAACCCCCCCCCCCCGTCCTGATCCTTTCACGACGCGAGCATGTCTGGGGCGGTGCAGGGGGAGGAGGAGGAGGAGGAGGAGGAGGAGGAGGAGGAGGAGGAGGAGGAGGAGGAGGAGGAGGAGGAGGAGGAGGAGCGAGCGTCTCCAGAAGAAGGGTGCCTCCTCACGCCCCTGCCTCGCGCGCGCCCGCTCCGGAGCCTCTCAGGGCCTCGGTGCCGACGTCCACGTGGACGCTGGTGTCAGTGAGGTTGTAGGAGCCCGCGTGAGCAGGCAGAGCAGCACGGGACCGTGCCGACGGCGTCGAAGAAGTCGCAGTAGACCGCGAAGTTGAAATGTCTGTATTGTCAGTGATGTGGTCCAGAGAGGCACTCAGCGTGTCATCGCGGGAAAGGGCCGCGTCGGTGACCGCAACTCGCACCGTCCTCAGCATCATCTCGCCGACCAGGGAGGGCGGCAGCACGACGCCGCAACACTCACTAAGTAGACGGAGGTCACATTCGATAGCGACTGCCCTTCGCAAGAACAGCGGTGACGACGGAGCTAACCCAGAACAGGAAGAACGCCATTGCCTCTCAGAGATGATCCTCGCATCAATGATCGTGTCTATACCAGGTGGGAAGTCTTCGCGGTAGGCTTTGAGGGCATCCCACGTGGCCTTCCAGCGCCTCTGTGGTGTGAGGTCGCTCATGGCCCTCTGATACACTTCCGCCACCATCTCATCCAGGAAATGTGAATCGTGTCGTTTCCTTTCAACGCCGAGCTCAATGTAGTTCGCGTGCGCCTGGGCCAGAGCAGGGACGGGAATGCAGCCACGGTCACCAGCAGCAGGAGAATCGCCTTGGGCGTCCACCTCTCGAACGTCACCGCGCCCAGCAACAGACGGCTCCGCCACCGTTGGCCAAGGGGCGGGTGGTAAGCTCGAAGCGCGGGCAGACGGCGCACGTGTTGTAGACGACGAAGGAGGTACCATCATAGCGACAGTATGGGGCGACCTGCTCCATGCACTCAGGGAACGGGTGCGGCGACGAGACGAGCGAACATGACGATGTCCAACAACGTGTCCAGGACGAGCCTCAGAAGCGCGCGAAGCACTCCCAAGGGCGCCACGCTCAGTAGCAGCGGAACCGTAAGCATCAGGGGGACGAGGATCAGGAACACCAGCATCAGCCCGATCCACAGCAGGTCTCCGAAGCGGAACACAATCGTCAGCTTTGACAGGAGGCAGAACACCAGTGCTTGGACGTGCATCGTCATGGCCACGGGGTTCCGCACAGGAGGCGTGCAGAGCCGACCGCAGACCACGAAGATCCACACGTGAGTCCTGAGCGGCATCTTCATGGCGGCTACCGACACCAGCGGCAGCAAGAGCGGGCAGAGCACGAACGCCAGCATCATCATCCGCACCATCCCGAACTGCAGACAGTGGATGAACAGCGTCAGCATCACGAACAGGATGAGCAGCAGCGCAGCAATCACGATCGTGAGCGGCATCTTCAGGCCCACCAGGCCATTCACGTGCAGCACTCTCTTCGAACATGCAGAGCTCAGACTCGAAGCCCAGATCATGCACGAAGGACGACAGCTCCGTGGAGAAATCCATGAAGAAGTCGGCGTGCGAGGAGCAGGCGGCGTAGGCGTAGTCGTCGGTGTAGTTAGCGGAGCGGCCGGTGTAAGTGTAGGTTGTGGTGGGGTCCGCGGTCATGAAGGGAGTAGCCAGCCTGTGAAGAATCGCATCCAATGAGACCATGAGTTGGGCAATGTATGGGATGAGCATGTCGATCGGGTGCGACATCGCCTCCGTCTGCACAACTGCATCGCTGGTGGCTGCCGCCTTGACGTCGGCAACCATTCTTCCCGCATGGGGCGGGGCTCGGCGAGGACGTTCGCTAGCATCCGCTGGAGCACCCTGGTGAAGAACAGGTGCCGCAGTCTGGTCTTCCTCTCCCGCTCGAGGCGGGGGTCTGTCGTGCACGTCAGCGTCGTCACCTTCAGAAGGTACATCTGCCCAGCGTGGGCGAGAAGCAGCAGCATGGACACGTCGGCCAGGGCGATCATGAGCTCCCGAGGGGTCCTGCCGTCCAGAACGGTCATGATGTCCAGCGTGAGCCTCATCTCGACGCACAACAGATCCATGAAGGGCCTGGTGACGATGATTGGTGGCGTCCGCCAGCTCCAGCGCCGCCCGTGCGGCCGCATGGCCGTCAGGGGAGAGCACACCTCGTCGGAGCGCACGATGAGCAGCAAGCTTGCCAAAAGCAGCTGGGGCGACTCCGTGAAGTAGGCCCTCAGTATCAAGAATACGATGAATGGCTTTGCCTTGGGCCATGCGCTTGACGTCAGCCCTGTCAGCCACATCCACTTCCACAAAAGCCTTCCCAGGTCCACTATGGAAAGTCGCGTACCAAGAATCCCGCTCGCGGCGGCGACGTTGAGCTCCAGTGAGCGTGGCCCCCGCAGCCGAGGCGGCCACCCAGGAGCGACAGCTCGGCATCGAAGACCTGCCCGCAGCAGCGCCCACACACAGGTGGGAGAGGAGCACGAAGAGAGAGCAGAGCACTATGAAGCAGCAGGCGACACCATCCCGACGGGTCCCGCGCGGCGGCGGGCGCGCGCAGCCACCAGGAGCCAGGGCAGGCTCGGTAGCTCTTGAGCCAAAATGGCTACGGAGGAGGAGGAGGAGGAGGAGGAGGAGGAGGAGGACGAAGAGGAGGAGGAGAAGGAGGGCACCCCTGCGAGGCAGCCCGTGGTGCTCGCCAGTTGGGCCGGGGGGCGGTGGCTGGAGCCCCGCGGGGGCAGCTCCTCGCGCGCCCACCGCCCGGGGCACCCCCGGCTGGGCGAGGCTGCGCCCGGACGGGGTGGCCGAGCGGCGCTCCCGCCAGAGCCTTTTTTTTTTGGATTCGGGCAGATTTACTTGCATGGCGTTCGCCCCCCCCCCCCCCCCCCCCCCGCCCCCCCCCCCCCCCTCGCCCCTCTTCAAGCGAATACTAGCGTGCAAGTGCCTTTCGACTTGCGTGATTTCCGCGCCCCCCCGAACGTGCAAGTCGTTTGCGGCTTGCTTCAGGCTCAGCCCCCCCCCCCGTCCATGCAAGTAAACTTGCCAGAGTCTAAAAAAAACAGGCTCCCGAGCGCCGCTCCCGCCAGCACGCGGTCGTGCCGCCTGGCCCAGGCATGATCGCGTCGTGAAGACATCACGACGGAAGGTCTTTGGCTACTCTTGGCACTGGGGGGCCCTCGCTGAGCCCCAGGGCCGTCAAAGAACGATTCAGGCTACAAGACTGGCCCCCGGGGAAAGGGTCGGGACATCCGGGGATCACGCATGAAAGAAAACAGAACGTCGCACGTCCAGGGGTGTCCTGGCCGCGGCGGGGTGAAAGGCAAGAAAGAGAGAGAGGAGTCGGAAAATGAGGCCTCTTCAGGCCGTCTTCTGGCATCCAGGGGGCTTCTCAGGATCCTCTTGGGGCCTTGGGGGGCCTCTCAGAGACTCTTGGGAGCCTTGGGGGCGTGTGACGTGTTCCCTCACGGGAAAGATCTCGGCACGCCACTGCGGCCGTGCCTACCTCGGCGCCAAAGCGCCAAGAAGGCGAGGGGAACTAACGTGGGGAAGTGATCGTCTCCTTCCTGAGCCCACCGCCGCAACTTGCTCACTTCTGCGGAACTGGAGCGGCAACGCCATCCCTCGGCCCGCCCTCATGGCGTGGTGGGGACGGCAAGCGAGCGTCTTAGCCGGTCGGCGTTCGTGGCCACTCTATGTCCGACAACTGCACACAACACGGGCTACAGATACTCGCCTCGTTCCAATCAGAGCGCGATCGGGCACAGTGCCGATGAGGGCGGAAAGGTCAGCGTGGCCAGCGCGATCGAGACTGGCAACACCGTGGCGACCTCCACGTGCGGTCCGGTGAACAGCACGAGCGAGGGCGAGGCTTGGGGCGGCGGTGCCTTCCTCATTCTCTCCGCCCCCTACCCCATCCCTTCCGACGCATGTATGCGTCCACATCCACCACTATGGATGCCGAAATCGTCAGAACCCAGGAGGCAGTTGGCATGGACATGTTTGGGCCCCCAGGAGCCCGATGGCAGCCATGTCCGCTTCCTTTCCGATGTCCTGGGGTAGCATACCAGAAAGCTGGAATCACACGCGGCTGGTGGAACATCGGGAGGCACCGCGCTGGATGCACGTGCGGAGTCCCAGCGTGGCCCGCCATGGAGGGCCGAAGATTGGAAAGATACGTGGCCGTGTATGAACGCAGCTATCGCGCAGGCCGGCCGCGTCATGTGTACCCAGCTCCCTGGTAAGTCCTGGCAGAGTACCGCTCCAGCACCGGTGCCAGCTCTGGTGCACAGCCAACCAGCCAGGGCCCCCGGCGAGCGTGGTGGCCTTCTCCTCCGTGTGCTTCCACTGCCTCGCAGGCCACACGCAGGGGTGGCAGTGGGCAGTCGTGGGCCTATGGTGCCAGGCTTTCGAGGGCCGCGGGGGGGGCAGATCCAAATTGATGGGGGGCTGGCCCAGGGAGGCAAGACGATGACATGGAATCGGCAATTCATCGCCGATGGATCGGCGATAGGCCCTCGACAGCGAAACCGTCAGTTCATGAGCGAAGTACGGCAACCAGGCCACGATCGGCGATGAATGGGCGATTCGGGGTCAATGGTCCCCCCCCTGGGACAGTCCCCCCCAAATCGGCGCCCCTGGCAAACGCGCAAGCCAGTGCCGGGGGGGGACCCCTGTCGGCCCGCACCACAGGTCCCCACGGCGCAGTGTCACTCTTGCGCGCAGCCGGTGCCTGCCGCTCTGGGGCCGGATCCCGAAGATGTTGGGGTCCGAGCCCGCGAAGACCTCGTCCGCGGCGGCCGGCGCAACCGGCCCGTGCGAGGACCGCCCACGGCCCCCGAGCGGAGACCCCGGATCGACAGGTCATCGTGCTGCCGTGAGACGCGCTGGAAACAAAAACGGAGGGGCTGTTCTGGTCATGGCGAGCCTCGGCCATGAGCGCGCTCTCCGACAAGTCTGTTCCCCGCCAGGCTCTCTTCGCGGCCTTGCTTGGTTGATAGATCCTCTGGTGTGCTGTGGTCTGAGCGAAATGGCATTCACAACAAATCATGTGGCCCGCAAACATCAAGCGGAAAATTGTACCCGCCCAGTGTCCTGTGAGCAACACTCAAAAGGCCCACATTCAATGTGCACGGTCGGCAGATATGTCTGATCGGACTGCGCCTGGGAGATTGTGTGCTCGCCGACACTTATACGGCCACCCTTCGGGTGTTAAAAGGAGGTTATGGGGGTTGAGATCAAGGGGGAGTTCCTCTTTCAGTGTGCGATTGGGGTCGGGTCGGATGGCGGAGCACCTGTGTAGCCCTCTCTCTGTACATATATATATATATATATATATATATATCGATGTCCCCCCTGACCTCTGATCTACGGAGCGGCCTGAGAGCCACAGCTCCGGCATCGTGGAAGTGAAGGTCACCCGACCTCGCGGTGTTCGCGCGGCGCGGAGCGCGGCACCTTCGCGCGCCCTCGCGCGGCCCCCTTCTGGAGAAGGGCAGCTCTCCGGCCCGAGAGGCCAGGCGAGCGATCCTCTTCGCGCCCCTGCTTGTAACCTGGCCGAACAGGGACGTCTCCTCCCCGGTGCCTAGGTGAACGGTGGATATACTCCCCAGACCCCGGGGGGCAGCCGATATCCGCACCCAAGGGCGACGACGCAGCGAGTGATTGTAGAGAAAATGCTCCGGCGGTGGATGCCCGCATCCCTGCCCCCACTGCCAGACAATTCGCGCGTGCTGACGTTTCACGCGCGCACGCGCGCACGCGCACGCCCTAAACTCTGCCTCGATCGGATCGCGAAAAGACAGTGTGCGCACACACTTCCCCCGCGCGCTCGCGCCACTCCTCGCCGTCTCCATCTCCGTCTCCATCTGGCCAGTCCCAGTAAACCTACACCCTACATGGATTGCCGTATCTAGGGGGCGCATGTATTACTTCCTTGTTGTACCCTCCACATGACGCATCGCGTGGGGACTAACACAAAACCTACCGAAATCGGCGCGTCCCAAATCTTAGACTTAAAGACGGAAGGGCCCAAGACAGGAGCACGAGAGTCAGAAGGTGGAGCTGCACCACGACTCCACACTCCCGCGCCTCCGCCTCTGAGGAGGCGTTGCGACACCGGATGGCCTGAGACACCCGGAGATCAAGACAACAATCTGAAATAGAAAGAACTATGGAAAAAAACAGTTCTCCGAGATCGCTAGAAGTAGCATCTACTCAGCCCCCGAAGCGACGGGAACGCGCGGGCGGGATGGGCAACGTCGACCCCGCGGGGGCGACGCGCCGAATCAAACCACGGCCCCGCGCGCCAGTAAATCAACGAGGAATGCCTCGCGGGTTCTGCACGCGACGCCGCGGCGATGGTCGCGGTGCGGTTTTGCACGCGACACACCCAAATGCCTCTTTCATCATTCCCTCGTCAACCCCTTCACCAGCCTTCCCCTTCCTCGTCTCGGCCCTCCTCCTCCTCATCATCATCCCCCTCTTTCGCCCGACCTCCCCCCCTCTACCCGTCGCGCGCCCACCTCGCCGCGCCGCGGCGGCGCCTTCTCCTGCCGCGAACCCCTCGCCCGCCGCGCCCGCCCCTTCCCCTTCGCCGTCGTTGTCCTCCTCCGACGCCCCCGCACCCTCCTCCTCCTGCTCGCTGCTCGCCCGCTTCCCTCCTGCTACTCCCCTTTCCCCGTCTTCCTCCTCCTCCTCCTCCTCCCCCTCCTCCTCCTCCTCCTCCTGTTCCTCCTCCTCCTCCTCTTCCTCCTCCTCCTCCTCCTCCTTCTCCCCCCCCTCCTCCTCCTCCTCCTCCTCCTCCTCCTCCTCCTCCTCCTCCTCCTCCTCCTCCTCCTCCTCCTCCTCCTCCTCCTCCTCCTCCTCCTCCTCCTCCACTTCTTCGCCGCGGCCGGCGCGCGTCGCGCATTCGGGCCCGGCCGCGCCGGAGCGTTTACTCGTCGGCTGGCCGGCCGGGCGGGCCTCCGGCGGGCCCGGGTTCCGCGAGAGGCGGCGCGACTGGCCCATATTTGCGCGCGCTGGCGCGGCGCGGCCCGGGTCCGGATTTGCAAAACGCGCTGGCGCGGCCGGGCCCAAATTCTGGCGGGCCCGCGGGCGGGTCGCGGCGCCCCCCCCCGGAAGGCCCCGGCGGCCCCCTGGCGGGCCCGGGGAGCGCCCCGAAATTGCTTTCCAAATCAGCGAAATAGTTCCTCTGCCCCCGCGCAAGGGCAAACTAACCCATCTTAACTGCGCGCTGGCCTGGCGGACGGGGCCCCGCCACTTGTTCGGCCGGCCCCGATCACGGCAGAAAAGCGCCGCGCGCCATGGAGTCCGCGGGCCGCCCTGTAGACTACAAGAAGACGCCTGCGCTGCGACCCTGTAATTATGGCCCCCGACGCTACGCGCTTGTTTCGCGCAGCGCGGCCCCGCGCCCGCGAACCTCGAGCAATGCGGCGCAGCGCAACGCGCCCGGGATGCCCGCGGCAATGAAGTTGCGCCGCTGGATTTCCTCAAGGGGGGGGGGGTAGGAGGACCCCGCCCCCCCCTTCCCCGATCCGTTGTCGGGGGCCCCCCCACCTCCCCCCCTTCCCCGATCCGTCGTCGGATCCGTCGTCGGGGAATTCCCCCTCCCCCCCTTTCCGGGATCCGTCGTCGGGGAAGCACCCCTCCCCCCTCCCCCCCTTTCAAGGGGGGGGGGGTCCGACCCCCCCCCCTCCCCCCCTTTGGCCACGCCGCCCTCTGACTCCAGAACCAGACCCCCGCCGCCCCTATACCTAGTCCTCAAACCCAAACACCTAATTCTAACCCCAACCACTAACCCCAGCCCCAAGGAGTACTCAGTACTCATTACTCATTACCCACTACCGACTACTCGCTGTTCGCTACTCACTTCTCACTACCCTCTACTCACTACTCACGACTCACTACTCACTATCCACGACTCACTACCCACCACCCACTATTCGCTACTCACTACTCCCTACTCACTACTCCCTCCTCCCTGCTCGCTACTCACTACTCACTCCCCACTCCCCACTACTCAATACTCACTACTAACTAAGCACTACTCACTACTCCCTACTCACTACTCACGAATCACTACTTATTACCCACTACCCACTATCCACTACTCACTACTCCCTACGAACTACTCGTTGCCCAGAAATCACTACTCACTACCCACTACTCGCTACTCCCTACACAATACTGACTACACAAAACTCAGTACTCACTACACGCTACTCCCATACTCGCTACTCAATACTCACTACTCACTCCCGCTACTCACTATTCACTACTCACTACTTACTACTCCCCACTCACTAGTCACTACATAGTCTCTAGCCACTAGTCACAAACCACTAGTAACTAGTCACACTACCCACTACCTACTACTTACTAATTGCTACTTACTGCCCACTGTTCGCTACCCACTTCTTACTACTCACTGCCAACTACTCCCTACTCCCTACTCACTACTCACCTCTTGCTATTCCCTACTCGTTACTCACTAATCACTACCCACTACTCACTACTGACTACTCTCTACTCACTACTCACTACTCACTACGTCCTACTCGCTCCTCACTACTCACTACTCGCTAGTCCCTACTCGCTACTCACTACTCACCACCCACTGCCACGACCAACTACTCTCTATTCATCCCTACTCACTACTCACTACTCACTACGCACTACGTACGACGCAGTACTCACAACTCACTAGTCACTAGTCACTACTCCCTACTCGCTACTCACTACTCACTACTCACCACGCACTACTCACTACGCACTACGCACTACGCACTACGCACTACGCACTACGCACTACGCACTACACACTACTCGCTACTCACTAATCACTACTCGCCACCCACTACTCACTACCCACTACTCACTACCCACTACTCATTACTCCCAACTCCCTACTCAGTACTCACTACTCGCTCCTCGCTACTCACTACTCACTACTCGCCCGTCACTACTCACTCATCAATACACACTACTCACTACTCACTACTCACTACCCTACTCGATTCTCACCACTCACTACCCACTACTCACTATCCAATACTCACTACTCACTGTGCATTAACTCACTACTCACTACTCACCACTCCCTACTCCCAAGTCCGTACTCCCTACACGAGGGGCGGAGTCCGACCCCCCCCCCCCCCAGTTTCCAGCGCCAAGGGGGGGAAGGGGGGAGGGGGGGGTTCTGGACCCCCCCCTCCCCTTTAGGGTATTCAGGGAGATCCACAGGCGGAATTGCGCAATGATGATTGCAATGCGACACATTTGCAGCGCGCGCCCTGATCAACCCGCAAATTGACATTGAAATATTATGTCTACGTTGGGAAAACGATGTCGTTCTGGACACTACGTTGAAGCTACTTTTTCCTACCAGAACCTATTATGTTCTACCTTTTTCTCTATCTTGGAAAACTACATGTTTCTACTTTGTTAATCCCATATTGATCAACATGGCTGGCTACTGTCTAGTAATTCGCTGTCGCAAAGGAGGCGGCACTGTAGGAGCGGCACCAGACGCCCCTCTGGGGTCGCGGAGGCCGCTCTCCGGGCCGATCCCCCTCTGTCTTACTTCCGGCAACTTCCGTCGGCGGAGGCGGCATCGTTTTACTTCCGCCACCTTCCGCGAGACTTCCGCCGCCTTCCGCCGAGGAAGAGAGATGGAAGTTTTTTCGGACTTCGAGGGCGAGGCCCGTTCTGGAACGCCTCACCGAACCTCGACCAGGATAGTAAGGATGCGCGGTAAGGATGCAAAGGCCTTGGGACGCCATGTTGACGTTTTCCGTGCGGAGCGCAGCAGAGTGCCGAAGGATGCCGAATACCGAACACTATCATGGTTGAATTAGGCGGCGAGCCAGGAGGGGAAGTGAGAAGGGGCGTGCCTTCTCAGAAGGCTCGGAAGTCCCCCGGACTTCTGAAAAGTTTTCTAAGCCTTCCCCGATGACAGAAACAACTTCTCAGAAGGCGCGAGGGCTTTTGAGAAGTCCCACCGCCTTCTGAGAAGGCATTTTCCTTCTCAATTCCCCCCCTCGCTCGCCGCCGGTGGATGTACAGGCACATCGCGCGCAGGGGCAATCTCCACGCGCCCTCAGGGCCCTGTCGCGGGTGGGCAGCCGGAGGGCGCAGGTCCGCAGGAAAGCTGTGGCCGCAGCACCCCCCCCCCCCGAGAGTCGGCACAGGGCAACTCGCGAATCGCCCTGGCACGATGGGGCTTCTACGGTCAGGAGCTTCTGCTCAGCGCCTCGCAGCGGCGATCCCAGCGACACGCCATGCCCTGCAAGCAGATAGCGTGTCGCTCTGCTCTGCGGGGCGGGAGGCTCGGGAAAGCTCGGGAGGTTGACGCCTCGGGGCCATGAAGTGGATCGCGTGTCGCACCAAAGTGCGGTGGGCCAGAACGGGCAGCGCGACACGATATCCAACAGATCTCGACCGTAGCGAGCCTCCAATTCTGCGCGGTCACCGAATGCCATCCTCGTCGGGGCTCGTTCCATGGGCACCCGCGGCTCGCTGGCACCCACTCTCGGGAGCGGCCAAGAGGGGGGTGTCCAAGAGGGGGGGGTGCAAATCATGACTGGCGGCATGTGCGCGGCCCAGCGGGGGGGCCAGGAACGCAATGAAATAAGAAGAGGCGCCATGGAATCTGGGGAAAGATCATGACCAACGCCATGATAACCACCCCCCCCTAATCATCACCCCCCTCTTTTCCGCCCCCGACACTCCTTCAGCATCCTCCTCTGCCCTGGCCTCCGGGCATCGAGCAACGGGGGGGGCATGGCGGGCCCCAATCCCCTCCCGTGTGAACATGTCGACTGGACCAATATACTTGGGTCCCCATCGGACATATGCGATGGGGGGGCGCCCCTGCTCAATACGGGTGCATCCGAATGGCCTCCCGTTCCAGGGTCCATCCCGGAGCCCCCTCTGCTTTTCGGAACGGCCTGGTCTCTTCGGGAAGAGCTCAGGGATTGGGGGCGAGAAGTCGCATGCGAGAGGAGTTTCCTCATAGGGCTGATCCGATTTTGAATCCCATGGGAGCCTTTGGAAACCTTCGGAAGCGCGGCCGCCCTCCCCCCCCACCTGGAGATGCGCAGGCCATCGCTGGCCATGCGCAACGTGAGGACATGGACGGGAGCAAGGCGACGTGAGTACGCGGAGGGGGACATGGAGAGAGAGCCAGAGAGGTGGAGAAAGCGGGAATGAGCCAGGAAGGAGAATTAAGCAGGGACAGACCGTCCAGGAATTGGTATAAGCATACCTCGACATGTCCCCACAAACAAAAAGGAAGTGCGATCATGTTCTATATGCGACAACGGCGCCCTCAAACAAGACAGTCTCAGCCAGAGCCGCTTTAAGCACGTCCACAGCTAAACCCACAAGAGGCTCCCATAACATGTTTTGTTGGACGCGCATACAAGCACACCGAGACGCCTCGCCGGTACTTTAGAAGAAAAAGAAACTGCATAAACGTAGACTTCTGGAGGTCCGCGCGGATGTCCTGGATCTGTGCCGGACCTCTCCCTCGGAGGGGACGAAAAGCTAGGATAGCAAAGGGTAGGGTACGTAGCTGAGATTTCCTGGCGCCGGGAGGCGCCCATGTATCGAGGAATGATCCCGGCGGCGGGGCGGAAACCAGTCGCATGCAGCAGATGTCGTAACCTCCTTTTCCCCTATCCTACGGTTTCGTCCGGTGCGCCAGGGGTTGCGGCGGAATCCCCGCCAGGGGACTCGGCGCAGATCTAAGGAATCCACGCGAATATCCGAAGGTCTGTGCCTGCACAATATGTTTCTTTCCTCCTTCGACGTTTGGAAAGGAGGGAAGCGTTTACTTGACTCCGACGAGTTTACTTGGATGGGAGGGGGGGGGGCGGCGGGGGGCGGGGCGAGGCCCCCCAGGCAATCTGGACGTCCAAACGCAAATCGGGACTCACTCGCACGCCTCCTCTGCCCAGCGCTGTATGGAAGGGCGTCTGAGAATCGGGGGGGGACGCCATGCGTACAAACGTGCCAGGAACTAAGCAAGACCAACACACGTTCGGGCATGAGACCTCTGCGCGGTGCACGATGAAGCTGATGCAGCCCTTCGCCTCGCCTCGGCGGACTCCCAGGCGGAGGCCAGTCGGGCAGGGCGTGGGGGAGGGGCGCAGCCAAATCCCACAATGGTTCAAGATGTGCGGTGAGGATGCAAGGGCCTTGGAGGGCAACGCTGGCGTTGTCGAGCGGGGTCGGCCAGCGAAAGTCGCCCAGGACTGGCCGAAGGGGCAAGGATGCGAAAAGGTATCCTTGGAGAGCTGCTCGCTCTTAGGGATCCACCTGCTCCGCCTCCTCGTCCGCCTTCGTCCGCCTCCGCGCCTCGCGTGCCTCATCCAACCCCCCCGCGCCACCCCGCCTTCTCTGGACGCACAGCCCGTACACCGCTAACGCTCGGGCCCATTTCACGAAGACGGTCCTTGGTGCAGACCACGAAATATCCCTGCTCCTCCCCCTCCTCACCCCTCCTCCGTCATTTCATCCTTCTCTTCCTGCTCCTCCTCCTCCTCCTCCTCCTCCTCCTCCTCCTCCTCCTCCCCCTCATCTCACTCGAATCTTCCCCACCTCGCCCGAGTCCTTCTCAGAGTCGCGGACGACTCGGTCAGTGTCAGAAATCAACATACTTTTTGCTCGGTGGCTAGCTCAGCGTAGCTGTAAGCTTTAGGCCAAGGGCCACGAACGCGTCGGTTACTTGTGATGTGTCTGGGGCAGTCCTGCGCTAAATGAAAAACTTGCTGCGCCGCGTGCAAGTCACAAGAACTGCAGAGCCAGACTCCCAGCCCCGCGTGGAATATCACATCGATGGCTCTCGCGGGCGACGCCATCCCTGGCCAGCGATGTGCAACTCCCCACCCTCCACGGGGGCGGGAAGGGCGAGGATGACGAGGCGCTCGATGGGGGACTACCAGGAGGACGAGTAGATCAACGAGGGAGGCGGCAAGGCCGAAGTGAAGGGCGACCGGGCGAAGGCCAGCGTGAAAGAGCGAGCGTGGAGGGTCACGATGAGGAGTGGAGGTGACGCCACCACTAGGTGATACTCCAGATTTCGCAATAAAGGGAGGGGGGTCTCATTTCGGGGGGGGTCTCTTCCAGGCTATCTTGGAGGGCCTGGGGGGGTCTGGGGACGATGTTTTGGAGGGTTCTCCCACGGGGGGGGGTCTGAAATGGCTCGTCTTGGAGGATCCAGACCCCCTCCCTTTTATTACGAAAGCTGGAGTACCCGAAATCATGAACTACCCGCGGCCCTTGCTGCCTGCTGGGCACAAGTGAGCGCCTTCGGACGGAGCCAACGATGTAACATTCGGAGATGTTTCCTTCGGGTGTTGAAAGGCTTCGCGTGCCCTGTGCAAAGAGCTCTTCGGACCTTTGGCAGAAGATCACCACAACAGAAGCCCCAGGTTTTGCATAGCTGGACAATTCGGGCAGCATGAAGAACACTATTATGTGAGGCCTCACCCAACCCCAAAGAGATGCAAGGGTTGCCCACAGGGGTGACGCAAGACGTTCTGGTCTCCAGGAGCGCGACCCAGCTCAAAACACAAGGTTAAACGCCACTCAGTGGCAATGTCGCTCGAGGAATACCCGCGACATCTAGATCAGCTGCGGCCACAAGGCACCAGGAGGTGAGCACTGTGGAAAGCAGACGAAGAGAGAGTGGATGGGAGGGAGGGAGGAGAAGGCGACGCGATGGGTCGGGCTCCCCATCCACGCCGCTTGCCTTGGGGCCACGAGCGCGTGCACCTCGACGTCGAGGCCGCTGTGCTGGCCTCGCCTAAGAGTCGTGAGAAAACCTCGAGAGCGGCACGCAGAAGACGACAGCTAACTAAAAGGGCGCGCTTGTCAGTCTGCCATACACGCGCGCGATGACAGCTGCCTTCCCTGCGAGTTCGTCAACAACAAATTCCCCGACAACTGGAAACTTGAGCACGGTTTTCTGAACAACCTGCAGGGGGACAACAGGAGACACCGCATCGAAAACAACCACTAGTGGCGTATCACGGCCAATGTCAGGTCCCTTCGAACTCTTTAGGCTGAGGATGTTCTGTGCACTTTGAGAGCCACGGGCACCACATTCCCAGAATTTCCGTGCGCGGCTGGGCGCGGCTGGTCGCGCGACCCTCGCGAAAGCCTCGGGGGCGCAGTTCGGACAGTCGACGGGTCCCACGTGTGTGGGGCGCTTGGGCCCTCTTGGAAGCTTTCGGGGCCGGCCCCCCCGCTTTCCAATGAAAGGCCCGTCAGCGGGCCCAGCGGCCCCATTCCCGTCCGCCCCCGCACCACATGCTCTTACCGACTTCGATTACACAACACAGCTGGCACCAAATAGCTCGCACTACGTAACTTGCAGCACATAGCTTGCACAACTTAGGCTGCACCACGTAGATTCTACAACACGGTGCACCGCATAACTTGCACCACATACACGGCATAGCTAGCACGACGTAGCTTGCGTTTCGCATGTTGCACCACCTAGCTTGCGCCACAAAGTTGACACAAAGCTTGCACAACGCTAGCTCACTCCACGTCGATTGCACCACATGTTTAGACCACGCATCTTGCACCACGCGTACTGTACAACGTAGATTCTCGTTCTCAAGCGTGCATGAGGATCGACCCCCCCGGGGTCAACTGGACATCCTGTCGTATTGCAATGTGCATGTGGTTGTTCCCCGTCGCCCATCCAAAATATGAGCCCAGACCAGCCCAGCCAGGACGGAGTTCGCCCCCTCCCCCCCTCAACCCTTGCAGGCATACTATCCCTTGCAACAGGTGGGACGAAGTGCACACGCGCGCGTCGTCGCGCGCGCATGCCGAACTCTTTCAAAAACTTCAGTCCTCGTAAGGACTGCGAAACCAAATGTTCCGACTACATTTCAACAACAGAAACACGGTTTCGCAACATAGCTTTTCATAGAATTCATGCAGCCGCGTTCTTGCGAATCCTTGAGAAAAACAGCGGTTTTCATCTGTTCATAATGCCACCAAGCGGGCCTCTCGCGCGCGCCTGTCGAAGTCGCTCGAACGCCCTTGCGCGCGTGCTACCGGGGCGTGCGTAAAAAACAACCATCCGTCGATATGATGAGGTAATGGCGCTCTGCATTAGAAGTAATGATCGCGCGTGTCGTACGAAACGTGTGAGGGGTGTGCCGCGAAACGGGCGCGGGGCCAGAATACGCTCAAACAGGGTCCTCCTGGGACGGCGGAGTGTCCATTATCTTCACCCGCGCGTGAGGCCACATTCTCGGTCCCATGAGATTCGCCCGCGCGTGGGGCCACATTTTCGCACTCATCTGTTACAGCCCAAAAATCGTGTTCCCCCTCCCCCCCCTCCCCCCCATGGAGCAAAGATGGGTGGAGGCGGAAGCGCCGACCTGCCCGGCCCACGAGTCAGCTTTGCACTTCGGGGGGGAGGGGGGGGAGGGAAAGAGGGAGGGAGGGAGGGAAGGTGGAGGAGGCAGGAGGAGGAGGAGGAGGAGGAGGACGACGACGACGAGGAGGAGGACGAGGAGGGAGGAACAGCTTTGCACTTCGGGGGGGAGGGGGGGAGGGAAAGGGGGAGGGAAGGGGGAGGGAAGGGGGGAGGGAGGCAGTGGGGGAGGAGGGGGGAGGAAGAGGAGGGTGAAGGGGAGGAGGAGGAATGAGGAATGAGGAATGAGGAACTGAGGAATCAGGAGGAGGAGGACGAAGAGGAGGAGGAGGAGGAAAAGGAGGAGGAGGAGGAGAAAGGAGGAACAACTCTGCACTTCGGAAGGGAAGGGGGGGAAGGGAAGGAAGGAGGAAGGGAGGGAGGAGGGAGGAAAAGGAGGAATGAGGAGGATGGAGGAGGAGGAGGAGGGGCGACGAGGAGAAGGAACGAGGATGATTTTCAAATGGAGTGCGAAGAAGTGCCTCTGGGGAGTATCTCCAGAGACTTTCGGGCGGAGTGCGGACGACTGCGGGGGATTTCAAATTCGAGCGGAGGCCTCTGGGGAGCACCTCCAGAGGCCTCCAGGAGGAGTGCGGACGAATGCGGAGGATTTCAAATTCAAGCGGAGGCCTCTGGGGAGTGCCTCCGGAGGCTTTCGGGCGGAGTGCGGACGAATGCGGAGGATGTCAAATTCCAGCGGAGGCCTCTGGACTGCCTCCCAGAGGCTTCCGGGAGGAGTGCGGACGAGTGCGGAGGATATCAAATTCGAGCGGAGGCGTCTGGGGACTAGTGCTGGAGGCCTCCAGCGTGAGGATTGCGGACAAGTGCGGACGATTTTGACTTGGAGGCTGGAGGATGGGAGGGTGGGGCGGCGGGCGAGGGAGGGGGGAGGGATAGGCCCGGCGACAAAGAAGCGACCACATCTTCTTTGCGAGACCTTGCGTGCAGAGGCTGTGATATGATTCGGGCAGGCCCAGTGAGGCAGACATGAAAACATCTCCCTGGCGAAGACGTGCGTGCAGAGGCTGTGATATGTTTTGCCAGCCGCGGTGAGGGAGACTTCAAACCATCTTCCTTGCCAAGATGTGCGCGCAAAGGCTGTGATGCGATGATGTTGGCATGTAAATCGAACGATGTTGTGCGTGCGATAGCTGTGCGATGATCTGGTTGTGATGTGGAGGCAACTGTGAACCGAACGATGTCGTGCGTGCGATGGCTGTGCGATGATCTGGTTGTCATGTGGAGGCAACTGTGAACCGTCTGGCGCGCTCCGCGTGCCACGGTCGTTTATTTCGCACACACCGGTATGGCAATAACCCTTTTTGCAAACGGGGGACGACGTGCACGCGCGCGCGCGCGAACGCCCTTGCGCGCGTGCTGGGGGGGGGAGGACACGACCCGTGCCAAATAATACTACGCGGGCCACTGGCGCGCGTCGGCCGCGCGCGCATGTCGAACTTTTCCAAAAACCAGTATCGCCGACGCGAGGACATCGTCATCGTTGTCGCCGCGCTTGATCAACATCGGCGCCGTCATTGGGCTGACCGTCGTCACCACCACCATCGTCACCATCATCGTTGCTATCATAGTCGTGTCTACAGTTTCCGGCGTCGCCGTGATACCGCACCCGCTCAATTCACCAACTCCCACTGAAGTGCCCGCTGGGAAGTCCCCAGCGGTCAGCGGCACCGCGGCCGCGTCGGTCGCTCCTAGCTAGCTGGCCGCTGTGCGCGCGAGCGTGCGCGGGCTAGCGCGTCCGCAGAGATGCACCAGCCAACCACTCAGCGCAATCGTCGCCGCATGGTTTCACAACCATACATATTACCCAGCATAGCTTGAACCACATCGCTTACATCCCATGGTTGAGCTACCCCGCGTGCGAAGGTGTTCTGGAACGCAAACTTCGAAGTGGCGATGCGCTCAGGAACCGTCATGAAGAAACGTGGACTCCAGTGTCATCAGCTGCAATGCTGAAGCTGGGCACACGTGCGGTCGCGAGGACTCGCGCCCTCCTCTCGCCCCGCCTCCTGTTCCTCCCCCCCCCCTCGTCGCCCTGGCGAGCAGCAGCGCCAGCGGGCCGCGGCTGCAAGAGTGCAGGCAGAAAGCGGCTGCGGCTGGCAGGCCAGATCCCCCCCCCCCCACGCGAGCCGCGTGCGAGCCCGCGCGGGCCAACGTCATCAGCTTCAGGGCTGGGACTTGCTCGTGCGTGCGAGAAGGCCGAGCTGTGGCAGCAAACTACGTCGCTACCCCGCCAGGTGGAAGGCGAAACGCAAGCCCGATGTCATCAGCTACAGCGCTGGGATCAGGGCGTGCGAGGGCGAAGGGCGGCAGGCGGCTCAGACGTCATTCAGCGAGACGCGGGAGGCAAAGCTGGAGCCCAATGTCATGCATCAGCTACAACGCTGGGAACATATTGTGAGAGAGGGGCAGCCGCGAACGACTTATCAGCTACAACGCTGGGAGTAGCTTATGCGGACAGAGCCCGATGTCATCAGCCACAGCGTTGGCATCATGGCGTGCGGGAAGGGCGAGGCGAGCATGGGCCACGATCAACCACGCGGCTGGGAGCAGCCCGTGCGAGAAAGCAGGCATGCAGTGGCAGCAGGCGCTGGTACAGCGAGAAACGTGCGGGTAGGCCGCGATCAGCCATAAGGCTGGGACCAGCCCGTGCGAGAAGGGCACGCAGTGGAAGCAGGTTCTGGCACTTCGAGACGGGGACAAGCGCAGGAACTACAACGCTGGGATCAGCTGTGTGCGAAGACATACAGTGGCAGCAACAGGAACTGGCAATACGAGACGAGACAGCAGTGACAGCAGGTTCTGGCACGGCTCGAAAGCGACACATGCACGAGCGAGCATCATCAACTTCACCGCTGGGAACAGCTCGTTCGCGAAAGGGCCCGGGGAGCAGCCGTGCACTGCAGTGTTGCAGAGCCAGGATGTACGTCATCAGCTACAACGCGGAGCCCGGCAGCATTCTGCGAGGTGCCGCAGGCGAAGTTGGAGCCCGATGCCATGAAAAATACGGCCAGGGGCAGCTCGTGCGAGAAACATCTCTGCAACAATGCAAGGAACAAATCGTGCGTGTAGGTGCTCGTGGGACCGGAGCAGGTACAGTGTGGGGATCGGGTCGTGCGAGAACCACGGCAGCGGCAGCAGGCTCTGTTGCCGCAGGACGGTGGACAAGCCAATGTCAGCTACAGTGCAGAGACCAGCTCGTGCGTGAACATTCAATCCTGTCAAGTCTGGTTCGGGGACGGCCCGATTGTCTGGCAGTGGCGCTCGTGGTAGGCAGCGAGCGGCATGTCACTAGTCGGTATCGCTCGAATCCCCTCGAATCCCCCTCCGCCTCCTCCTCCCCCTCCCCCCTTTTCTAGTCCTCCTCCCTCTTCTTCCCCCCGTCCTCCCTTTCCTCCTCCTCCTTCTCAAAACCGCCGCGCAAATCCGAAACTCTCCACCATCAACAGACACCCTTCCCAAACAACCTCTTGACTCCCCCCCTCATCCCGAGAAGCCGCTTCGATTGGACTCCGGTCGCCCTTCTTCTCGATCTCGGCCTCGTCCCACCACATGAAATGCCCGTCTCGCAGGATGCACAACCGCGATTGTTTCCTCTTGTCGAACAGCGTCCGCAGAAAGTTCGGGCTCTGCTTCTGAATGGAGCCCTGGAGGAGGAGAAGGAGAGGGAGAAGGTGCAAGAGGGCAAGCGGAGGGGAGGGCTTGGGATGGTTTATTCAACCCTCCCAGCGGGTCTGGGGCGTTCATGGGGGGCCGATTCTAGGATTTCCACGGGGTCTAGGAGAATGGATAGGGAGTAGAGGCTGTGGAGAGATGGAAGGGCGAAGCGGAGGAGGAGGAGGAGGAGGAGGAGGAGGAGGAGGGGGCCCTGAGAGAACTGCGTGCTTTGTGAAACCAAGTTCGACTTCAATGCAACACGCAACTCTCCGAGGAAGAGGGGGGGCTGCTTCTTGATGGCGTCCTCGGCTCAACGCGCTGGGCAGAGTGGCCCGACGCATCGACAAAACATCAACAACTATGTTTGACATCATGTTGCTTGGTCGAGAGCGGCATGGCAAGCAGCGGATAAGCAGAGCTCCGTACTTGCTACAGGAGCAACGGCATTCGTGTTCTGACGAAACCTCCCCGTTCAACTCCCTCCCACGTCTGAAAACTGTCCTACGGGCGTCGGCGCCGCGCCGGACACAAGGCGAACCGATGTTCAAGACAAGCTCTGCTCGACACTTCCCCCTGCCCCACAATAGCAGCGCGGGCAACGCCGCACTTTTGAAGCTCTCGTCGCCCTCGCTGGCGGGTGGTGATGAGGGGTGGCCCACACTGGGGGTGAAGAGAAGGGCCCTGAAGGCGCCCTTTAGGGTTAGGGTCCTTGTTGGACCACTGTTGGCTCCAAAAGGAGCCCCAGAGTGCCCATGTCGGGCTCCTTCTTGAGCCCCCATGTGGGTCACCCCCCATTACCACCCGCCCGAGCCTCGAGGTACTGCATGGGGCCGGTGGCGCCGAACCACATTTCGAGAGAGTCCGTCCGCTGTTGGACCACCCACGTTGCGAACCGCAGCGGCGCCCCAGGCGCCGCGCCAAGAAGCACCTAGGGCGAACGCCCTCCTCCGGCCGGGATGCGCCGAAGTGACGCGCGAGCGCCTCCCTGCAGCGCGCTCTGGAGCCAAAGCACGCTCTGGAATCGGAGCCAGAGCAGCCGGCAAGTCAGACCCTCGCCCCTTGGCGCACCCCTCGTTCCTCTTGCCCGTGTCCGCCCTCCTCGCCCCCGGCCCCGCCCTCTTCTCTGGCTCTGCGCTTGGCCTCGGGACCCCATCCTTCTTCTTTGCTTTGCGTGAGCCTCCCGCAGGCCCACGGTTGGAGAACGCCTCGTGCAGAGCCCCGCTGCGAGCTAAAACCAAGACAAAGCCGCTCCAGCGACCCCGCGACCTCGCCTCCCGATCCCATCTTAAGGAGCTCACAGGGGACGCACCCGCCGACACCAAGCACGTGAACACGGCCCCCAGACCACGAGACCCGCCCCGTGGTACGATCGTTCGCGCAAGGCGCACTCTCGAAACCAGCGTGGATTCAGGTATACTCCAGACTTCGTAATAAAGGGAGGGGGGTCTCATTTCGGGGGGGGTCTCTTCCAGGCTATCTTGGAGGGCCTGGGGGGTCTGGGGACGATGTTTTGGAGGGTTCTCCCACGGGGGGAGGTCTGAAATGGCTTGTCTTGGAGGGTCCAGACCCCCTCCCATTTATTACGAGATCTGGAGTGTACGTGTGCGTCCTTCGTTCGCTCCCGAGTCCCTGCCCCCCACACCTCCTTGGGTCCCGAGAGGCACGCCCGCGTGAAGGAGGTGTCCGCGGGGCCGTCGCCGCCCTGCCCCTGCAGCGGCCCCCGTGTAAGGCGTCGCTGGGGGCCCGCCGGGGGCATTCGCAGCGACACCGCGAGAAACCGAACTCCTCAGCGGGGCTGCCTGGGGTCCCCGAGCGGGGGAGCCGTTCCGAGAGAGAGACAGCCGGCGTGCTGGGAGGAAGGGGTCGGGAAGATGCAGGTTACGACTACGACTGCGCAGCAAGGCTTCGTGCGCACCCTCAGCACACGTGGTACTGTGGATGCCGTGGCCGCTCCCCCCCAGACTCAATCCTCACAACCCTGAGCGTCTCTCTGATGCTCGGCCCCTCGCCCGGGGGCGGGGCTGTGACCGCTCGCCGGGCGAGAGGGGCCCGGGGCGAGGGGCGCAGGGCAGCGGGCTGCGCCAGGGGCTCGACTCCTCGCCCTCTGTGCAGGGGCCCAGGGACACACAAATAAATACACACAAATAAAATGATTCCCCATCTTTTCCTATATTTTTGGTGTTTTTGTCTTCCCCACCCACTTCCCATAGTTTCCCATATTTTCTCTGGGAAATCGACAATTAATTGTGTCTGTGTGTTTTTTCCCTTCCTGACTCTGTACCATCCTCGCGCTGCCCTTCTACTCTACCTCGTCTGTAATCCCGAAGGCACGGCCACAGGGGCCCCCTGTCCTGCCGCAGAGGCGCGCTGGTCCCCGCCTCCCAGACAGATCCCTGGCGGGGCCTCAAAGGCAGGACAGGATCAGCCCCACTGCCTCCAGACATCAAAGCACTCTCGTAGCCAAGCCCCACTCTCCTTCCGCCTCAATTTTGCATGCCTTCGAAACTCCGGTGCCCGAAACAACGCGGGCTCGGGGGGGCTACTACGCCGCTGCTTGGACGGCTTTCCCGGCCGCGCGGCCTTTCTCGCTCCGTCCGGGGTGGCAGGGGTTTGACGGAGGACGGGTAAGGACGAGGCGCTTGGGGAAGGGGGCAAGCTCGAAATGCGACTGCGCTTTGCGAGTGCCAGAGACACACAGGCAAGCGCCGCCGGACGAACAAATATGTCAAACACACACAAGAGAGCCAACCACCCACACTGAATCAACAACGCCATATGTGCACTGGCGCAGGACAGACCCGCTGACCTGGCCCAGTCGGGGAGAAGCAGAGCCCAACCAGCTGCACCCCACTCATTTTCCGTCCGTCATCGTTGCTGATTGCTAGGCGCTGGTAAAACTACTAAAACAAAGCTAGGATCGGGATAAATCGCTCCAGAGCGTTCCGGAGCGCTCTCAGAGCGTTCCGGAACGCTCTGGAGCGGCAGCGGCGCCCAATACATCCTCCAAACCCGCCGATTCTCAGAGATTTCGAGTTATCCCGATCTGATTTTGTCCCGATCTTCGCATCGTTTTAACAACGCGCGCATGGTCTGACCCAGGCCAGAAAAAAACTTGCGTAAACTGTCCGTGACCACGGTTTGCGCTCACAGCTCTGCCGCGCGCCTCCTCTTGCTCCCCCCCCCTCGGATGCACTTCAAAAGTGCTAGAGCCGAGCTGGAAACGCACACGACTGGATCCACATGCGCAAGATCCTCTGGCCACGCGGTGGATAATGCGGGATGACGATTAATAAGAAAAATGGAGGGGAACGATTAAAAACATAGTTTCCTGCTATTTCTGCACAAGTTTCTGACTGAAGGAAAACGATTTTTTAAAATGGTTTTCCAGCCCGCGGCCGGTTCTTTCTAATCGTCATCCCAAGCGCCGCCGCGTGAACACGACCCCCGGTCATTTATTAATCGTCATCCTCCATTACACATGCGGATGTCCAGCGTGCGCGGTCACATCTGTGCCGAACACTGGCAAGACTGCTGGCCACGTGTATCCACCTCTCGACCAGGGCGGCCGCGTCATATGTATCCAGCTTCCCGGGAAACTGATGTCCTCCTCCAGTGCTGCTGCTGCTCTTCTCCTCGCATCGGCCTCCAGACCCACTCATACGACAACGCTTCTCGAACATCAATTCCTGGCCGAGAGCCGAATCATGGCAAGGCGGACTGGAGGATGCCAAATATACTTCTTGAAAACCCTGGGCGGGCCCTAAAAAAAAACAATCAACTTCGAATTGGGAAACCGGCTCGGACGAGAATGTGCGTCGGATCGGGATACATCCACGTGATCGGAATCGACTCGGATCGAGCGAGACACGATACACAATAGAGCCATGCGAACAACGGGCCGCGGACCGTCGAAACATCGCCATCGAATCGGATCGGGCTGACCCGAATCGATATCGATTCGGATCGATCGGGTCGAAATCGGCCCTGCCAAGGAGGCAACTCTCACTCTGTCGGGAGGCAAATTTCGAAGCTACCACCTCTCGGAATGTGGGTGTCGGATCCATCACGTGCAAACGCTGGGGGCACAACCAGGGTAGCTACAGCTACGTTCCTGAACCCCCCTCAATGAGCCCTTCGCATCCACGATCTGTCGACCAGAGTGTCGACGCCGATGGTTCCCCCAAAGGGGCATGGACCACAGATCCCCCCAGCTGTGGGAGGTCTGTACTGAGCCCCTGACCGCCGACCTCTCGTGCCCAGAGCACGGGCTGGCGCAGGACACCGAAGCGGTCGCGCGCAGGTTTTGCTCTGTCCGCTGAGCTCCCATTCCGCCTCCTCCTCCTCCTCCTCCTCCTTCGCCTTCTCCTCGTCTCCTCGTCCTCCTCGTCTGCCCCCCTCCCCTCATTCTCTTCCTCCTCCTCCTCCTCCTCCTCCTCCTCCTCCTCCTCCTCCTTCTCCTCTTCTCATCCACCTCCTCCGCCTCCTCCTCCCTTTTCCTGACAGATGACCGCTCCCTGTCGCACCCCGAAGCCGGTCGAAAGGGCGTGCCGGGCGTTTCGCCTCAGACTTCCTTACAATTTACGCATCAAGGGTGCAAGCGGCACGTGGCGGTTCATTCGGCCCCCTCCCAAAGTATTTACTTGCACCAGCAAGCCTTTCCAGTCCACAACAGAAAGGAATGCTTCCTTAATCTGCCACACAACAAGTTCTTTGGTTTTCCACCAGACAGATATCCTTATGTATTTCGCCACATGGTGGGCCCTTGTATTGTCCGCCACGTCACGAATAAGGGAAACCCTGTGTACTCCGTCACAAAAAGAATATGTCTGGAATCGGTCACAAGGGAGATCATGTTGTACTCCGTCGCTAAAGGAATATGTTTGCGATATGCCACAAAGATACTATTGTTGTGTATCGCCACAAAAAGTTCACGAAACTTGATTAAAACAAGTGGAAGACATGTGCTTCATAGCGTTTTAACAGATCTCTGATAAAGACATTGGTTCCACCTGCGCCTGCACAGCGCTGTAGCGTGTTGTATTATTTTCAATGCGCAGGCACAGCGAACACAGCACTTTTCATGATATCCCACATGTGGGTAATCTGTTTCAACAAAAATCATGCTGTGCGCTCGACGTTCTATTGTTAAACAAACGTCTAATACAAATGTTGGTTTCGCCTGTCGCTGCACAGCGTCGTAACCATTTCTCTAATACAGAAGTGTTGGTTTCGCTCGTGCCTGCACCACGTTTTAACCTGTGTTAAAAATCATGGTGATTTCCATGCACAGGCACAGTGGACACAACACTTTGAATGTATGGGTCATACTTTTGCGTAAAAGGAAAGCACGACGCTGTGAAACACGCAAGGCTTACGTATGCGCTAATAGAACAATTTAGTTGTGCTTGTGCCTGCGCGCCTATTCATTCTGTTTGTATTACTTCCCCGTAACAAAATTAATACATATATGCAAATGTTGTGTTCGCTGTGTCTGTGCATAAGCGAAACATTTGTTACGTCTGAGTGCTGGAATGCTTTGCAAGCATAGGCGAAACCAACCGTTGTATAAGCAAATGCTGAAACGCTGTGTCTCTTCTTCTCTTATACAAAAAATACGCGTCTTTCATTTATAGTAGCAATTTCACTTGAATTCTGTTTGCGGCAAACTACCAAAGGATTCCTTGTGTAGCGGAATGCGACAGGATCTCTTTGTACCGGATACGAAAGGATTCCCTTTGCGGAAGAATGCTAAGGGACCCCGTTGCTGTCGGAATCCAAAAGGATTCCATGTGTGGCGGAATACAAGTTTCCCTTTTGTGGCGGAGTACGAAAGGATTGCTTTTGTGGTGG